TTTGCTCTAAGGGCATCTCAAAGGCAGGGAAGCCATTGGTCCGACAACAGCCTCTGCTCACTGTTCTGCCTCTTCTAGCCCAGGCAGGCTATTCGTCCTGGCTCCTAACAATGACCTTGAAGAAGGGCACGTGGGGTGGGTTGAAGCATGGCCTTTGAGGAGCCGGCACCCACCTCTCTGGGCCTCTGGAGCTCCCCTGTAGCCACAGGGGAGGAACAGGCCCTGAGACTCAGCTGCCCACTGCTGTGAGTTAGATAATGAAGGGGCCCCTGTGGGCTGGAGTCTTCCTCAGTCTATAGCAGCGGTTCTCAACCTCTGGGTCACGACCCCTTTGGCGGTTGAACGACCCTTTCACAGGGGTCGCCTAAGACCATCCTGCATATTAGATATTTACATTACGATTCATAATAGTAGCAACATTACAGTTATGAAGTAGCAATGAAAATAATTGTATGGTTGGGTCACAACATGAGGAACTGTATTTAAAGGGCCAGAAGGTTGAGAACCACTGGTCTATAGGGTGTGTTGGGCCAGTAATCTCAAGGTTTCCCTCTGGTGGTAAGATTTAGCAATTTGTCTTCTGATCCCAGTACAGATACAGGTGTTCCTCTGGCCCTGGAGACACGGTGGGGACTCACACAGCTTCCATAAACTCTTCGTTTCTGGGGCAAGGGTGGGAATGGGGGGTGCAGGGGAAAGCGAGATGCTGCTGGTAATCTCTATGAAGAAATGATGGGCAGGGCGTGTTCTCTCCTGTTGGATGGGCAGGGGGTGGGGCCCATCTGTTCTGTGCGAATAGGAGGAAGTGAATCCAGGGATGGAGTGGGAAGCAAAGAGGATTGTAGAATAAGGTCAGCAGGACCAGGACATTTTGCCTGAGTCTGGCCAGGTCGCCCAAAGCTCTCCGTTCCTGGCACCCTGGCACCAAGCTGGCTGACCCGGGGCACCCAGCATGAACGCAGCACTTGGCACCACGTATTCTGTCTTCATTCCTCGCCTTTATCAGGGATGGTTCTCACTCTTCTTCCTCATCACCAGAGGCTCAGTTCAGACAGCTTTTTCTTTCCTTCTCTCTAAACAATGGCCTTATGGAGATGGGACCCACATACCATAGAATTCACTGCTCCACAGCATGTAATCCAGTGGTGTTTAGTATATTCACAGAGGTGTATGCAGTTTTTCTTTTTTGTACCTGGAGAAACAAAATATAAATAGTTTGTGTGGATTATGATTTCAGATATGTCTGGACTTATTGTTTTCTTTTCAAATTTGTCTACTTACCATGTTTTCTTGTTTGTTTTCTATTTATTTTTTTCCTTCCTGCCTTTGCTTGGATTTATGGAGTTCATTGTATTCCCTTTTGCCTTCTTATAATTTGTAAGCGTCACCAACTTATGGTGGGACATTCATCCTTAATTCAGATACAAACACAATATAATTTCATGTCTATTTGATAGAGGTACTTCTCTTCAGGAAAAAATTAAAGGCAAGTGCAGAGATTACACATCACATAGAACAAATATAACAGTAGGCAACCTTTTAAGTGGGCCACTTAGAAACTCTCTCATGCTCACAAAAGCAGAGACTCTCTGGGGTCAGGTCATCATCATCATCATCATCATCATAATCATTTTAAACTAGAGGCCCAGTGCACGAAAATTTGTGCACTCGGAGCGGGGGGGCGGGGGGGGGTATCCCTCGGCCTGGCCCATGCCCTCTCGCAGTCCAGGACCCCTCAGAGGATGTCCACCTGCTGGCTTAGGTCCGCTCCCCAGGGGATCAGGCCTAAGCTGGCATTCAGACATCTCTGACAGTCCGGGAGCCCTCAGGGGATGTCCAACTGAGGCTTAGGCCCACTCACAGTTGGACATAACCCACAGTTGGACATCCTTAGCGCTGCCGCAGAGGTGAGAGAGGCTCCCACCACTGCCACTACACTGGCAGTCATCAGCCACGCTTGTGGCTGAGTGGCGCTCCCCCTGTGGGAGTGCACTGACCACTAGGGGGCAGCTCCTGCATTGAGTGTCTGCCGCCTGGTAGTCAGTGCATGGCATAGCGACCAGGCATTCTGGTTGGACCATCGTTAGGGGCAATTTGCATATTACTCTTTTATTATATAGGATTAGTTTTATCGAGGTATAAGCTATATGCAAGGAAATTGACCAGTTTTGAGAGTAAGTTCGATGAGCTTTGACCAATAACTATAATTGTAACCAACATGATATAAAACATCCCATCACCCCGTAAGTTCCCCCATGGCCCTTGGAAGTCTGTATCTTCCTCTGCTACCTGGGCCCTGGACTACATTGATTTTTCTTTTAATCACATTAGTATTGATTTTCTAGAAAAGAAATCATACGCTATGTAGTCTTTTGTGGCTGGCATCTTCTATTTAGTAAAGCGTTTCTCAACTTTTTTATTGCCCCCCCCAACAGTCTTTTTAGACATTTTCCCATAATTGTCCCTCCCCTTCTTATGAAATTTTAATACCATAGATAGGCTGTATGTCTGTTTATGTAGTATATGTACATGTGTGTTTTATACATAAGTAGTAGTTTTTCACACCTCAAGAACAAACTTTTGCCCCCTTGGGGGCGATATTGAGAATACATGATTTAGTAAGATGTTTTTGTCATTCATTGGTATTGTGTATATCAGTAGTTGCTTCATTTAAAAAAAAATGTTTTTATTGATTTCAAAGAAAGGAAGGGAATGGGAGAAAAAGATAGAAACATCAGTGATGAGGGAGAATCATCGATAAGCTGCCCCTGCACGTCCTACACGGGGGATTGAGCCCTCAACCTGGGCATGTGCCCTGATCCTGGTTTCTAGGTCGATGCTCAACCACTGAGCCACGCTGGCCAGGTTACTGTCATATAATCTATAATAATAATTATTCATTTTGTTTTGCTGTTTGCATGAAGTCTGAGAATGCTATTTAGAAAATATTGCCACCTTTAAGAAAGGACTTCAGGTATTTATTGTTTTGTATTTAGAGCTACAGCCTGGACTTGCCTGGAGGGCTGGCCTAGCTGTGAAGG